TATATTCTGCATATTCTCTTATCATTCTTATTATTGTTATTCTTTTCTCTTACTAAGATGTCTTTATCTCAGTCCATGGGTTTTACTTTTTTTTTTTCTTATTTTCTCCCCCATCCCACTGAGCGGGGCGGGGGGAGCGAGCAAGTGGCTGTGTGGTGGTTCAGCTGCCTGCTGGGTTAAACCGCAAGTGGTTAATGGGTTGTACTTCACCTGGCTGCCTGTCACAAGTGGAGTATCCCAGGGAGCTATCCTGGGATGTGTCCTTTTTAACCTCTTTATCAGTGACTTGGAGGATGTCATGGAGGCAACTGTATCAAATTTGCGGACAACACCAAATTGGGGGTCCTGGTTGATATACTTGAGGGCAGGGTTACCATTAGAGGGATTGATGCAGGCTGGAAGGGTGGGCTGGCAGAAGCTATGAAATTCAGGAAGGACAAGTGCAAAGTGTCCAGCCTGGGAAGGAAGAGCCCCGTGCAGTGACAGAGGCTGGGAGTGCCCTGGCTGTGGAGCAGCTCGGCAAGGCAAAGCCCTTGGGGGCCCTGGTGGGCAGCAAGCTGAGCATGAGCCTGCGGTGGCCCTGGCAGCAGTGAGGGACAGCAGCATCCTGGGCTGTGTCAGCAGGAGCATCTAGGCTACTGCTGCCCATTTTGAGCCCCTGGTAAAAAGATGTTGATAAACTTAAGTGTGTTCAGTGGAAGGCCACCAAGAAGTCTGGGGTTGGAGCATCTGTGTTGTGAGCTGGGTTAAGGGAGCTGGACTTGTTCGGCCTGGGAGAAGGAGATGGTTTCAAGGGGGACCTAACAGCAGCCTCTGGCGCCTGTGGGGAAGCTATCAAGGGGACAGAGCCAGGCTCTGGGTGGTGGGAAAACTAAAGACATGAGCATAAAATGAAATAACAGAGGTTCAGACTGTATATAAGTAAAAATCTTTTCACCATGAAGACAGTAAAGCAGAAGAGTAGGTTATCCAGAGAAGTTGTGCAGTCTCTGTCCTTGAAGGTTTTCAATACCTGACAGAAAATTGAACCAGCAACAGACTGCTTGGTTTGACCCCACCACTAACCTTGCTTTGAGCAGCAGGTTGGACTGGTGACCTCTTGAGGTCCCTTCCAATCCAAATTCTCCTATGATCATGTGAATGTCAGCTGAATGTTGTGCCACAGTAAACTCTAGCATTACTCTGTATCAGCTAGCAATGCATAGATAATGGAAAGAAAGCATTAAAGATTATTAAGATTATTACAGGTTTAAAATATGGTACAATTTCATTTCCATTATTACCAACACATACAAGCAATAACTACCTCAAAAAAATCAGTAATCACAGATTATAAAAAGATTCCAAATTAAGCTTACAAAAATATCCTGAGACAGTTCACTTCAAAATCCCACCCACTGCTGTCATTAGTAGGCATGTAAAATTCTTTAGCGAATAGAACAGTCAGTGGAGCAGCACTAGAATAAAAATTTATTTTCCTTGTCTCATAATTTTTTCACTCTCATAAAAAGAGACACTCTACCATAAAATTCTTTTTAAAACAGATGGAGACAGGTACAAAACATAGTCACCTGGGAAGCTAAGAATGTGGCAAAGTAACAAATTACAGAATCATAAATCACTATTAGGCTACTAATTAATAAGCACTGCTAATTCAACCATAGAAGTATATCATTCAACCGTATGTGTGTGTATGCATATATATATATATATATCTCAAAGCCCGAACAATTTCCATTTGCAGAACATTAGTATTTTGCCAAATTCTAAAGTATAGATATTTACAAAAGGGAAATCAGCAAGACAAAAGAAATATCCTGAAACTGTTAATTCTAAAACTAGAGGGGTAACTCAGGCGAAACACTCCAGGGAGCAATGACAGGTCAGACCAATTTTTATTTTTTTTTTTCAGTGTTTCCTATTTTTTAGGTCTATGACATGGTATGCTCAGCACATGGGACTGTCAGGTTATTCTTTTGAGACATCTAATAGTCTCCACTCAGCAAAGACCATAGGTACTTTCTCTGGATTTGGGATTCCTCTCTGGAGGCCAGATATGTAAAAGTTGGATGTCCGCATACCTATTTAGTAAGTACTTTAAGGCTTAGTTAAAAGTCCAAGGGGCAGGAAGGTTTCTGCCAATGGGGTCGCAGCTCCTTATCTGTAACAGCTAGCTTCAGGGACTGGCTCAGTCATCCCATTTTGTTTCAAAACTAAAGACAGAGATGTTTACTCAAGTTACATCTAATGGTCACTGGACAAGAGCAGAAATTGTCTGAAGAGCATGGACTTAAATCTAGGATTTCCTACTCCTAAAACCAGCTAAGATATCACACAGGTGGGATTTAGTTCTCACATTAAGACACCTAAACGTGTATTTGTGTCAGTGAGCTACATATCTAAGCTCAAGTGTCATCACTGCTTGAAGCAGTCGCCTAAGCAAGTGGACACATTTAGTGACAATGCCACTAAAGACGCTCCAGGGTATCAGAGGCATCTACATGAAGAGAGAAAATATGACACAGGACTTACAGGAGATCTTCAGTCCTTTAGAGTAGCAGCTAGAGACCCAGCCCAAAACATTAGGGTACTTTGTGTTTCATAGCTTAGACATCCCAACCACATGGAGACGTCTACCTTCGTGCATCTTCATCATGAGGTGAGTCCCATCTTGGTGAAGCCTCTTCAAGAAACATGAGACCACAATCTGTCTAATAACTATTCTGGTTGCAGAGGTTATTGCTCCTACCAAAGCTGAGATACTCTCACTAACGTGGCTCAGCTGCACTATTTAATTTTGCAATAAAACAGATAAGGAGAAGCCAGGTGACCAGTTAATAGCACTTTTGCGTCTAAATTGCTACAATGGCATTACAAGGGGAACCTGCACTCTGCCCCAGCACTTTCAAAGCTGCATAACAAACTGTTTCAAATCTCTGTCAGAGCCTAAGTGCCACATAGTTATTCCATCTCTGGACACAACCTCCCTTCTCTCTGTAAGATGTGAAAGAGATTTCAAAAATCATGTCTCAAGTCAGCAGTTACTTCAAAACTTATCAAGGTTGCATGTGTTTCCCAAAATATCCATTGCTCTTCCGGTGGCCTAGAAATCTTGCTGGTGAGAAAATGCTACAATGCACAGATAAGAAAATATGTCTCTTTTTGTGCCTGAGTTGCTTTACTAATAACAAAAATGTTTTTCGACGACTGATCAGTAAATATGCAGTGGTGTGCAATCTAGCATTGGAACTGTTCTTTAGAACAGGAGTCTTGAAACGGTACACATTTTGCTATTATACAGATTCCAGTATCCTCCTGTGTTTTATGTCTTTTCTTTAACAAAATGCTTTTGAATGAAGCTTTTTTAAAAAATGAAAATGAAAATTATTGTATCAATTAGATAGCCGTGCCTTTTGTTTATTCCTTTCCTTGCTCTTATTGTAAACATGCTTTAGCGCTGTGGAGGAAGGTGGAAGAACTGATCCTCTACCTTAATGAAACAAACAAACAAAGAAAAAGTAAAGCAGTAACAAAAAGCACACAGTAGTTTCTGAGTGGCTACCAAACTTTAATACCTATTTAACTCTATTTTCTTTAATTTGGCTAAACTTATCCGATTTTATAATGTGAATATTCAGGAACACTTGTTTTGCAAATGAAGCATTTCTGTTGAAAGAAACTTTGCTAAAAAAAAGCATTAAACAAATGTCAGCACATGACATACCAAATACCAAGTTTAAGAAACAGAACAGTGGCCAGTGTATAAAGAAGTATAAGAATCTCTTTGGGCAGCCAAATCAACATCAAAGTAACTTGTTTTGTAAATATTAGTATATTTTACATATATAGAAGACAAAGTTTTATATAGAAGACAAAGGTTTATTTATCTGAAACAAATGCATTCAAATTAACAAGATAAATAATTTACAGTATTAAAAAAGCAGTGTTTCAGAGAATTTTTCTGACATAAAAATGGATCTGATGAAACAAGTGCAAGGGGAAGGACAAGGACTAGTGCTAAAAATGTTTTATATTCACAGTGAACATGCGCTACTAGGAGATATAACAAAACTAAAATGTTATTTATCTATTAGAGAAAAATTCTATTCATCATAATAGTTACCCTCTAAATTTATCAAATAATCTGGATTAGTTAAGGTATTGTTGAACACATATTTTAAAGGCCTTTTATGTATAAGATGATTTCTGTTAAAATATGTTACTTTAATTATTACTATGACTATAATTCAATAAAATAAATATTTTAAAATCAGATAATAGATAAGGGGATTTTATCAATATTCATTAATTTTGAACAGAAAGATTTAAAGTAATCATTAAAGGAGTTAAACTTACTCAGATTAAATCTTTGAAATCATTAGTCAACTCAGAGTAAATTAGGCCTACTGTGCATACACAAGAAAAGCAAAGCAGTATACAATGAATGTAAGGAAGTTGTAAAACTGAGCACCAGATTTTATTTTGCTCTGGTGATGACTCGTCTAATTAAATCAGAACCTAAGTCTGTCCTATAAGAATTTTTAGTGATAAGTTACCAAGTTTAAAAATAAACATTTTTATTTCTGCCAACCAGCCATTGTCTCAAAGCACATAGAAGCCATATGACTCTTAAAAGATGGGCATTACTTTCCTAACTTGGAAGCTCTACACACACATTATGTCTCAACTTTAAACTTCATAGCGTTTATTCTAAACATCACCTGGAACAACTTTCTTTGTTGCCATTTTCACTGTGTATGCAAACACCAACATATTGTTTTCCATTATGAGAAACAGCATTTACTCAAAACGGCACCTGGATTATTACTTTTTTTTTTTCTCTTTAAAATTGGAAACAAATAGCATTATCTCTGAAACTGCTGTATAGCTCAGTAGTTTAAAGTAAACGTCTTCCGATAACAACAATTTTCCTGTCTGGCTCAAAAATTTTCCAATGCAATCCCACAACAAATGCACTGTTAAAAGGTAGGCTGCTTGTTTTAATCAATTTGTATTTGAGCTGAATTCAAAAGAACACTCACTCTCCATAAATATAAAGAAAACAAAGGGAATTCATCTGAGAGGTGCAGAATAATTTGATCAAGATTTTTCAGAAATTTGATTTTTTCTTCTCCATCATAGTCTGAGCTTGAAACGTTACTTTCTTCTGTCTCATTTTGAAGAAGTTGTTCCAGAATCATGCACAAAGGAAAAATATTCTCATACTGGGTAATGTCATACATGGCCTGGATCTGGGAATAAAGAAAAATCAATACATAAGCACAGTGTGAAAATGCTTCTGCAGCCCACCAACTCACATGACAGTTTAAGGAATAATGCTAAAATTTGCAGTAGTATTTGTATAATCAGAACTTCTATATGCTCAGTATGATTACTTCTAAGAAACACTTTCCTTTTTGTGGTAACAGCCAACCAACTCTCCATTGTACTACCAAATGTTTTAGGAAGGCAAATTATATCACTTCACCTACCCCATAACCTCAAGACTCTTCCAAGCAGTTAAGCAATTTTGTTACTTTCAGTGCAACTAAATGCAACTTAGTAAACTATCTAATTGATTATGGATAATAGAAACCACAAGCTAACTAATTCTCGTTCCTCCACAAATACTACTGCACTACAGGAAAATTGTTTTAGCCACACAGAACTGACTTTGAACAGAAAGGGTAAGTCTGATGTAAGGAGGAGGGTTTTTTTTTTTTGAGGTAATTGCTTTTCAGGAGACAAATGCCCCTTGAAATATTTTTTTTTTTTCTTCCTGGTTTTGTAAAACATCAGTCTAGAATGTTTTCTGGCTCAAGGCTTATTAACCTTTCAAACCCATTTAATAATCCGAACAAAATGGGTCTCCATTTCTTTTGTTAGATCCCTTTTGTAGCACTAATTGATGCAATTACTACCACTGCAAATTTATGCCATGGAATTTGTAGAGGAATACCTTTACTGTTACCTAATGGTGCAGTCAGATAACAGTCCTACTCATCTTGCTCACCGATGTGTGTAAGCGGGCAGCGGCGTACGTACATGTACACACACATATACGCACAGATAGTCCATCCAGAAAGTTCAGAAGGTAAACCTTATCCAGAGACTACAATTCCAGAATATATTAATACCAACTTCAAATAACTTTAACACTAACTCTGTTTTTCAGACAGCATTTTAAGATAATCACTCTTTTTACAGATCAGATGGGTATGCGATATGGGTTTTGGACACTACTTTTTTTGTAGGATCAGTCCTTGCTGATTTTTCCTCACCAGGTATTTGGAAATGTGTTTCTTAGCAGTAAGATGCATTTTGCATGCACCCCAGTTCTGAATTTAACTTTTGAAAAAATCAGTACTAATACATTAAAGGAATCTGCTCAAAAATGTACGCAGAAATGACAGCCAGAATGCAAAAAAGCCGTCTGTGTTCTAGGTTCCTGGGCCTTTATTAGACTTCCTCTTTGCAAAGCAAGAGATCAGATTGCCCTAGATTAAATTCCGAGCCACTGCTCTCTTACTGGACAGATTTGGAGTTGGGGTCTTCAGCAAAATTTTGGACAGAAAGTAGGGATCTGGAAGCACAGAATTAATTGAAGTAACCTCCACAGAATGGTGGATGTAATTTCTGAAGGTTATTCAGCCAGATTCAGAAAAAATCCCAATGTGCAATTTTTGTACTTACAGTATTTTTGTTTTCATGTCTTAGTGGTTCATGCACATTCATATCATTTATTCAACCGCTATCAATAACAGCAATGTAAAACAAAACCAGGAGAATAAATATTGGCTTTGGAGAAATTCTCTACAATTCTTAAGCCATTTACCAGCCACAACTCATATTTCTAGTGATGCAGTCCGTTGAGGCTGGAATTTTCACATGCAGAAGACTGATGCTACCTTCTGAGTATCGGCAAAAAACTTTTATTCCTTTTATGTCTCAAAGGACCTACAGAATGGAGACAATACTTTACCAGTGTAAATTATTTGAAAAGAAAGAGATTATGTTCATGGCACCTAGTATTTGCCTCCATGCAACTCAGATACTTATGTAGGCTACAGACAAAGCATCAGCAGCAATACCTATGTGCGTTCTGGAATAAGCCAGAAGTGGCTCTAACTCAGGAAAAATTCTTTTTGGTTGAGGATGGAATGTTGAAATGCTGTAATGTCTGACAAAATTAAAACAATTAGAATTAATCATTATATTTGACAAAAAGCCTTCCTCCTTTTCTATCCCTACAAATGAGTTAACACCTCTTTAGGCTTTTTTAGTCTTATGAAGATACCAAGTTTAAATGTATATTGTAACAAATAATTATATACAACATAATGCTATATAAAATACTGACATACTGATACAAGTTTGAATCAAACTGGAAAGATGAGTGTTTATACACCACTGCGGTTTAGAAAGTGATAAAATTGACACCTTGAGGACATGGCTATTTTAGCAGAAAAGTGTTCTGCTCAAATCTCCTCAATCCATCATATTCTAACAGTTTTGCTTCTTGTAAATTTTTTCTTGCAATTTTTGCCACTTCCATTTCTTGGCAAACTTTTACTGTTCATCAGGGATATAATTTCCATGCTAGCAAGGTATCTTTTCTATGTCCCAAGAAATTCTATTTCAAATTTCACTGAAATATCAAGTGTTAAAAGTTGGTATTTCTCTCCTTTTACATGCATATTTTTCAGAGAAACATAAAGGGTAATAAACAAGAGGAACTTGTAAAGCCTGGCTAATATTGCCTTTCAGTGGAAGCAGAGGCAGTAGGAACTGATACACTGCCGTCTGCTGGGCTGTGATCGCTTAGGTAGTTAAGGAGGACGGAGGACAGAGCAGAACCAAATCTGCCATCTAGCCATTTCCAGCAAAAATCCCCCATCGTCCATCTCCTCCTCAGGGACGCAAATGGAGCCAAATCTCCTAGAAATTCTTTAGAGCAGGCAGAAGCAGGCAAAGAGCATATTTCAAGCACTACCTTGAAATAGTCTATCACCAACCAATGCATCATCTCAGCAAACCATCCCTGTACCCCTTGCTTCCTTGCAGAAGGCTGCTGATACAGGCAGGTACATGTGCAGACTGAATTCTTGGCAAGAAAATGAAGATTCATGGGTTAGGAAGCCACAGAGCACGTGTAAGCTGATGTCCCATGGAACATGGGACTTACCCAAACTACTTCAAACTGTTTGAAGTGGAGCATGCCTGTTAGAAAATGTCTAAGCTTGATTTACGTGTTTTAGAGATACACAATCCCGGGTATGCTGTTTTATGGTCAATTACCCCAACTGTTTTTTTTTTTTTTTAAATTTATTTTATTTGCTGCCTTGACTTTCTGGAAGTAGGAGGGATTGCTTCATCTAGAATTAAGAGGAAGGCAGATCTGGGACTAAACAACAAGGCAGTGACAAACTAAACACAGTCATTGATGTCCACAGAAATGAAAAAAGTTATTTCTGTGCTCACTATGCCAGCATAAAGGAGTCATGCTTCTCTGAAACTGTTTTTAGTATTTTAACACTACAGTTGTCCTAACAAATATATCATTATAAAAACAGAGAGATATTGCCTACATCACTTTTTAGGAAAAAAAAGTTTCTAAATCATCATAATGAAAAATAAGAAGCGATTGGCTGGCAACGCTATCAACAAGTGATCGTCATTTAGTAAGTTTGGTGTTTGCTAAGGTAATGCTGAAAAACCTACGTTTTCAGTAAAATCAACACTGTTTTACTCTACTAATCCAGTTTGAGCCAGTTTAATGGAAATATATTTCAAGAATGACTGATTTGTTTCCTCAAGTGGCAACGCATTCTCATTTTATGGACACAGAAGATTCTCACAGGGAATTCTGTTCCGGAACCTTTGTTTTTCCTCTGAAAAATCCCTGCCCAGGCTAGTCATTGCTGTGTTCAAGTCCTAAACACAAACCAAACATTTTTCAGAGTGTGGGATGTACGCTTGGCATTTTACTTCAAAACAACACTGAAAGTCTTTTAACTGGATGTTCCACAAGCATGTAAATAACCCCTACGTGGATCATTAAAACTTACAAAACCAACAATATCCATCGCATAAGAAAGCGCACAGTAGGAAAAGAGGTTATCTCTAATTGCTGTTTAATGTTTAAATAACAGGCTGATAAGCATCTCTAAAGTGTTTAAGGCAGGCATGCATGAAAGACTTAACTAGAAATCTTTTTGTTCTGATCTTAATACTCTCGTACTTGGTTAAGGTAAAAACCTTACAAATTGCCATGACTCAGGATTCAGTTTTTAGCTGATTAGCATTCCTCTTTAATTGCTTTTTGTTTTGTGATTTTGAAATGCATATTTCCCTAACATCCCTCCCTGTAATCATAATCCTCATTAACCACATCAACATTCACCTGCCAAAAAGTTCAAAGTGATTTACTCCCTCTTTTAGTATCTAAAACAAAATTCACACCACCTACAATTCCTTAGTTAAATTTATACCCCCCCCAACTTTCAAAGTATTTTGATCTTTTATTCAACGAGATCTGAAATTCTAATTGTGTCATCTTCATTCGCGCTGACTGTAATTTCTTCTCAAGTAGCTCCCTAAGATTCGACAATTCTGCTTACAGATCAAGACCAACCGTGCCTGCAGAAAGGGTCAAGGGATTACTAAAATTGGTGGAAGTTACAATTCTAGAGGAGGGACCGTCAGCTAAACTCTTAGAACAAATGAATCTGCAGGTACAGTGTGTGCAGTGACTATGGTCCTGAGGAACATTTTGTCAACAACACTTCAGATGATAAAGACTGAGGCCTTAGCACATAAGCATCCAGATTTTATAACTAGAAGGTCAAGTATCACATCAAAGTTGTTCTAACATATCACAAAAGCAACCTAAAAAAGCAGGAAGAATATAAGCTGTCAACCCATCACTTTCCCATTTAGTAGCTACTGCCCATAAGAAAAGCAAGGAGTAGGACAGAAAAGAGGTCTCATATTCTTTCTTCTTTTCAAGTGTTCTTAAAAGTGGTAAGGAAGCTCCTCCTGACCAGAAACCCTACTTTGATTGCAGCTAATGTTTGAATGGGCCTTCCCAGACAGAAATGTATTCAGTTCATGGGCAGACTCGTCTGTCCTTCAAGATTTCCACTCAGTTCCCTGGGACAGCCTCATATATATCAAGTTTCTGGTTTTAGCAAAAAGGGGAGAGGTAACATGTTCATAACATCACTTCATTGTCTGACATCTATTTCCTTCA